GACTAAGCCAAAGTCATGATGCAGCGACGACGGATTTTTTTTTTTTTTTTTTTTTTTGTAGGACTTCCATCATATTGCCACAAATAAGCTCATTAATGATTATGCAAATGTAGGCTAAATCCTGCTGCGTTAGAGGATGGCGGATAATGCCCTGCCAAAACAAGAGCGGGGAAATAACGTGTAATATTTTTTCAGATTTTTTTTTTTAGTTATTATTTCTATTGTTATAGCTGAATACTTACGGTTAGCTACTTTTTGCCATCAGCTTTTATTGAGTGCTTGTGATGATTAGTTGATTACATTTTGTCGTTAGCTTTTTAGTGAATGCATATGATTTAGTTGATTTTTCTTGATTATTTGTTTTTTTTATTATTGACTATTTGTGTTTTGCCTTAATGTTTACGCTTCATGTACATTTTTTTTTTTCTTTTTTTCTTTACAGTTTTATGTCCTACTGTTTTACTCTCTAAAATATTCGCAGTAAAGAAACTAAGTTTTTTTTTTTTTTAAATCATCTCCATGTGAAACAAGATAATATTCAGTTAGTCATTGTTCATTACGTTTCTTATTCAAATTACTGGCGTGTCATGAATGTATGTTCCCGTTCTCCTTTCCGTTGTAACTTTCCATGTTCTGCGTTCCAAACTTTCCATGTTCTGCGTTCCGTCAGACACATATGAACGCAAGCCCCCCCCCCCCCCCTCCACCCAACAACCCACACACTGAAACTACACGTCTTCCGTACCATACACAGACCCTCACCCTTAAACACACACACACGCACACACATACATGCACGCATTCGCCACAAGCTCCACACCTACACTCCCACACATACACCCCCCACCCACAAACAACTCCACACACACTCCCTCACCCCAGGATCTACCACCCACACACACAGACCTTCTCACTCCCTCACCCACGCCCCCACAGGATCTACACCCACACTCCCTCACACGCCGCCCCCCCCCACAGGCTCCACACCTGCACTCCCTCACGCCCCCCCCCCCTCTCACAGGATCTACACCCACACTCCCTCACGCCGCCACCACCCCCCCCACAGGCTCCACACCCACACTCCCTCACGCCGCCCCCCCCTCACAGGATCCACCCACACTCCCTCACGCCCCCACAGGATCTACACCCACACTCCCTCACGCCGCCGCCCCCCCTCAAGGCTCCACACCACACTCTCTCACGCCGTCCCCCCCCCCTCTCACAGGATCTACACCCACACTCCCTCACGCCGCCCCTCACAGGCTCCACGCCCACACTCCCTCACGCGTTTCCTTCCGTCCCCAACGCCCCTCTTTCGCCGGTCAAGCCCCGATTCCACTGCGAGGCCTCCGGTTTATGTCTCGCTGTAGTGAAGGCTCGCAGACCCTTATTGGGGGAATCTCTGATGTGTAGATTGTGCCATAAATATTTGATGGTGTCTGGAGAGTCCCCTCGCCTTGATCTGGTTTTCTTGACGGGGTTACTGTGGGGCGAGGGGCGAGGAGGGGAAGGGGAGAAGGTGGGGGGGTGGGGGGGGAGGATTGGTGTACTTAATGGCAAAATTTGAGATTCTTTTATGGGTGTGGAGGAGGGTTTGGGGGTAGAGTATTCGATTGGGATTTTTTTTTTCAAGTTGAAAGGGTTGTTGAGTAGGGGTGTCTGTGTCCTTGACTTTATGATTAGCGTTGATGTTGCACGTTCTTGAGAAACTCTTCCCTCTCACCTCTTTCTTTTTTACACTCTCTCCCCCCTCTCTCTCCATTCATTTATTCATTTTATGTATAAATAATTATACCTAGAAATCTCATTATTGTTAAAAATCAAAGATACTGAAAACTATCTTTGACTTAGTGTAGATATATAAGACACGCATTCACCTGACAGAAAATTGTGAGTGTGTATGACAAATGAATTTACATGTTCCTTAGTCAAGTATTCATTGACTTGAAGGTGTGAAGTGATGTGATGTGGGGCAGCTGACGTACCAAACGATTCCACATTCCTGTACATGGGCGAAGGAAGGTCTCTCTCCTGACGAGGGGACAGCGAGTAGGTGATCCAGGTCGCTCGCAATTGCCGGAGCGAAGCCATAAGGGTGTCATGTAGACGTGGATGACGTAGAACCTCGCTACATCCCGATGCTACTGCAGGGGTTGCGTTCGAGGAGGCGGCTGGTCTGGTTAGACCTTTTTTGGCAGATCAGCAGCTTGGTTCTGTTTTGGACCCTATCCAGGAGGCTAAGGCAAGAGAGTGTAAAGGGGTATGAGGGGAGATGTTGTCGAGGGATCAGCATCAGCTGTTCTTTTTCCATAATCAAGTCAGCCTTACAGTACTCACAACAAGAGATGATTTGCAGAACTTAATTGATGTGGACGGATGTTGTTGTTTTTTGTGCGTGTTTGGGTGTTTTGGTCACAGTGTTGAAAGTAAAATTGTAGATGCGGTATGTCTCTAGAACGAACTGAAGCAGGTTGTTGAAGTATATACCTCAGAGAAGTAAGCCAAGGATATTACTGTAACGGGAACTTGCCTTCTTAAGGCTGGATCATCGAACTCGGCGGGACCTACCTGTTAAGTTGTCTTGCCTGAGATGGGAAAGGTTATCGCGCACTCCCGCTCTGCTAGGATTGGCGGCGGGGGTTAGGCTGCAAAGATGAGACCAATGGTAAAGGTGTCCTTGCTTCGGCCAAGGACCTTAGACCAGGTGATGGACAGGTGGAGTAACGCATCTGCTGCTGACCTGTTTGTTGTAAAACTGATTTGCTTGTTGCTGAGATTGTCGGCTGTGATATTTCAAAGGTCTCTCTCTCTCTCTCTCTCTCTCCTCTCTTCTCTCTCTCTCTCTCTCTCTCTCTCTCTCTCTCTCTCTCTCTCTCTTCTCTCTCTCTCTCTCTCTCTGTCTGTCTGTCTCTCCTCTCTCCCTCTCTCCCTCCCTCCCTCTTCTCCCTCCTCCCTCTCCCTTTCCTCCCTCCTCTCCCTCTCTCCCTCCCTCCTTCTCCCGTCCTCCCTCCCTCCTGGTCTGTCTTCTCTCTCTCTCTCTCTCTATCGATCTATCTATCTCTGTCTATCTTCATCTATCTCCTGCTACCTCCCCTTCTATCTGTCTACCTGTCTGTCTTCACGTGTCAATCATTATTCATAGCAGATTGCATAACTATAACTGATACTTGGCGTCGATCCTCAGGCTAACATGTGTCAGTACCAAGAGGCCATACATATGGTGACCTTGCACAATATTACTCAGCCCTATTACGTCGACTGTTCGTATGGTGAAGGTGCTCCATATGTCTCAAATATTAAGTCGAGATCCATTAGCGTACGTCCTGATCTCTGAGTCAGTAGAGTACCTTATATATATATACCCACTTCTCTCGCCAAACTCCTCTGTCCTTCGGTCTCTCTCTCTCTCCCTCTCCTTCTAATCTCCCAAACTCTATCCCTCAATCTCCTTTCTTCTTCCCTTTCCCCTTTATCCTACCCTCTCCCTCTCTCCTCAATCTGTTTTCTCTTCTCTCTTCGCTCTTTCTCCTTCCTTATTTCTACTCCCTTCCCTGAGCAACATATTTCGAAAAAGTCAGTTCTTACAACTTCTAAATCTTTCGGTGAGATTAATGGATAGAACCACGCTTCCTTTGCAATCGGCACATGATTGCAAAATCCGTTTCACGAAGAGGGAGATTTCCAATAGACGTTTTGTGGTTTTCGAGCTTCTCCTTATTGAATGAAAGTAAAATTGGATGTTCTTAGAGACTACTGAAGGATAGTAAAAGTATTAAAGGTGTGTTATATCGAGGGACTAAAACGAAGAGTTATTTTTCTCGAGAGTCAATCACAATTCCACATATTTTTTTTACTTGTATGGAAAGCATTCTCCTGTGGTTTCGACTTTTCATCTTAATCTTTCCCTATTCTCTTTTCCTTTTCATCACCCTCTTCCCGTCTCTTTCGGTCTGGTACACCCCCACGCGTTCTCTTCCTATTTTTTTCTTTTTTTCTTCTCTCACTCTCTCTCTCTCTCTCTCTCTCTCTCTCTCTCTCTCTCTCTCTCTCCTCTCTCTCTCTTCTCTCTTCTCTCTCTCTCTCTCCTCTCTCTCTCTCTCTCTCTCTCTTCTCTCTCTCTCTCTCTCTCTCTCTCTCTCTTCCATCTTTCTCTCTCTCTCTCTCTCTCTCCTCTCCTTCCATCCATTCTTCCCCTCCCTCCTTGTTCTTCCCCTCCATCCGTCTTCCCTCTCCTTCCATTCTTTCCCAAATAATTTATAATCACCTCCCCACCATTGCCTCGCCGCCACCCTCCTTCCCCAACACTAACACAATACTCTCCAAGGCTCCATTTTGCCTTCCAGATTCCCGACCCTGGCTTTCTCCCGCACAGGATAATCCACCGAACTTAACCTAACCAATTCTGACAATTCAATATCCATCCCTAATATTGAAGCTTCTCTCATACCACGCTAGGTACCTGGGCCTCGGGATGCTTGATAAATAATGCATCAGGTGTCTGTCTGTGAAAGAGAAAGAGAGCCAGAGGAAAGGTCGAAAAAGAAAGAGTATTGGATATTCCTGACGGTTATTATAACTGGCTTGTTTGGTGTATTTTTTTTATTTTTTTTAAGTTTTATTTATTTATTTATTATTATTATTTTGGGGGGGAGGTAATCCGTGCGTGACTTTTCTTTTTCTTTCTTTATTTGACATGGACGATGTTCGACTGTCTTTTTATTTTTTTCATTCAGAAGGATAACTACCCTCGGCAATTCACCCCCTCCTCCCTCTGCCACCATTACCGCCCCCCCCCCCCCCCCCTCCCCCTCCATCCCCAGCCCACCTCCGCCCCGAAGACTTTCCGCTGAAAATGAGTTTCTGAATTTGCATCGTATGCGAATTCGTGCTGATGCGATTTCATTTGCCGTTTCCTTTGTTTGGCAGTAAGAGTAATCTTGTGATATTAATTTGGTCTCCGTTTATGAAAGTAAAGGGGAAAAAACGCAGCTTATGACAACCTTACGAAATGAGCGAATATATATATTTGCGTATATCCCTGGCAAACCCCTATATAAAAGGCTATATTGAAGTTATATGTTATAAAGACAAAATCCTTTCTTTGCTGCTGAGACACTTTAACTGCCGAGGCCCGATCATGTGAATATCCGTCGTAATGTTTTATATCGGACAAGTCGTCTTATATTTCAGTTTATGGTTTATTGGATGGAGAGGCATTATGTGCGAGGGATATATTTTTCAAATGTTAAAGCCTGAGTAAATAATATATGATAACCTCTTCGCCTACTCCGTTTCTCATTTTTGTTTTATCTCTGCTTTTCTTTCTCTCTCTCTCCACCTCTTCTTCACCTCCCTCTCTCTGCCCCAGTCCCTTCGGAAGGAGGGACTGTCTTCGCTTTTTTCGTAGGCTGATATTGTGATTATTGTGTATACGTGGTTTTGAATATGCTTTTCCCATGGCGTAAAGTGGTATGACTTTTTTATTATTAGGATCATAGGAGCCAAGGTTCTGAGTGTGCGTGTACAAAGCAACTGTGGTGTTACGATAAGAAATACGGCATTTCTTAAAGGTGTTTTTTTACGTGTGTATATACCCGCATATTCAGTATGCATGCATGCATGCGAGGATTCAAACCCTATATGTGGCAGCGCAGATCACGATAACTGGGAGTGGAAAATAGTCAAGTATATGGTTAGGACACGAAAAACCGCTCGACAACATTTTTTGGCGAAGCTGAAAAAATCAAGCATAGGCCATAAAAAACAGGCAAATTCAGTCGGCTTTCCCCGCTCTGAGCCGAGTCACGACCCACTGCATCACGGCCGCTCCTGTGCTTCAGCGTGGACGTGATGGCATACGAACATGACAAAATGTTTCTCTCGCGGTACTCTGCTCGTAGTTTATGAGCGGTGCGGCTCGTTGGCGGAGCGGGATTGAAACTTGGCCGTGTGCGCAGGATATACTATCGGAATGGATGCCACAGCCGAGGGAAGGGGCGGCGAAGTGAACGCTCTGCTCCGCGCGGGGGGTGGGCGTGGACGTGCGGGCGGGCTATGAGAGCAAGATAACATATCGGTGTGAAGGAGAAATGGAAGATAAATCCTTGTGTGCTTTTTTAATTTCTTTATTTCACCATCTTCTTTTCTGTTTCCTTCTCCTCCTCTTCCTCTTCCTCTTCCTTCTCTTGCTCTGTGTCCTCTTTGTCCCGGCCGCTCCGTTCCCCAGATGGATGGCCGGAATAAGCCAAAAAATAAAATGTCCTTCGAAGTGTTTCGTTATATGCCCTTTAATGGTGGCACGTAGCACTTCCTGCACAGACCCGCAGCGCAGAAGGGGGTTCGGGAGGGGAAGGGGGCGAGTAAATGGGGGTTTGGGGAGTAGCGAAGGAGAGTAGATGGGGAGGGACAGTAAAAAGGTGGGGGGGAGGGGTAAGGAAAGGGATGGGGGGGGAGGACCGAAAGAGAGAAGTAGATGGGGGAGGGAAAATAAAAAGGTAGGGGGGGGGAGGGTAAGGAAAAAGGGGGGTTTTGGGGAGGACGAAGGAGAGAAGTAGATGGGGGGGGGGGAAGTAGAAAGGTGGGAGGGAGGGGTAAGGAAAAGGGGTGGGGGTGGGGGAAGACCGAAGGAGAGAAGGAGATGGAAGGGAAAATAAAAAGGTGGGGGGAGGGGTAAGGAAAAGGGGGTGATAGAGGAATGCTGAATGAGAGAGGGAAGTGAAGGCGGGATGGGGAGGAGGCTGAAGGAGAGAAGCGGAAGTAGATAAGTGAGGGAGAATAAGTGGGAGATCAGGAAGGATGGAGAGTCAAGTAGGAAAGGAGGGGTGATAAGAGACGAAGGAAAATTAAATTGGGAGTGATGGAGAATTAGATAAGGGGATGGGGAGTGAGTAAGAAGCAAATAGGGGAATGGGAGAAGGGAGGGAGAGATACATAGGAAAATGTGGAGTGAGGAACATAAAACGGGGAAGGCAAGGGGGAGTGAGGGAGAAGTACGTGAAATGGAAGAGAGGAGTAAATAAAGGGGGATAGGGGTGCATGGGGGGAGAAGGGGAGGGAGAAGTACATGAAATGGGAGAGAGGTGTAAATAAGAGGGGGGATAGGGGTGGCATAGGAGAGGGGAGAAGGAGAGAGGGGTAAGCGCCGGGACAAACTTTGTTCATCACGGGAATCGGCGGGGAACTTGGCGAGTCGTTTCCGGGGCATAATACGGACGTCAACACAATACCATAATGAGACCCAGATAATCAGCCGATGCGTGTTGGGTCGTCGTTTCGTCCGTGTGTTTGCGCCGGACGAATTTCCCCCGAGGCGATGCGGGGGGTTTAGTTTTTTCTTTGTTTCGTCTTCTTTTTTTTTATTCCCCGGAATATAATTGGAGAAGGGAGGAGGAGGGGGAGAGAGGAAGAGGGAGAGGGAAAAAGGAGGAGGAGAAGAGAGAGGGGAAGAGAGAGAGAGAGAGAGGGGGGGGGGAGAGGAAGAGAGAGACGGAGAAGGAAGAG